CACTGGTCTTTCTTCTTCTGTATTCCCTTTCTGTATAAATCCAAGAGGAATATATAATCAAAATACGAATAAAAATGTTTACTTAATATGAGGAGTTATAACATTAAAATCACTACTGTCTTCCGAAAAAGAAGGAACAGAAATGCGTCCAAACAATCTGAATTCTCAATCTATAATGAAAAGTTTAACATTTAGCCTACGAGAGGAGCTACAGTTTCGTCATGGTTGGTGTAAGTTTTTTTTTCAATTTTTGATAGGCTGACCTTTTAAGTCTTTACAAATGTTTTACTTTTTTTCTTTGCAATTTGGCAACAACTAAAACAAAGCTGGAGATATAAGCTTAACAATTATTTTTGCACGAAAACACAGAAAAAGACATGGCTTACAACTTTTTGCAAGCTGACGGTTTAGAAAAAAAATGTTTTTGAACTGACGTTTAATTATATTTACATATTGTTTTAGTAATAGCATAACATTACTTACCACAGGTCTTATTTCATCTGTTTTTCCTTCCTGTATAAAACCAAGAGGAATATGTATTCAAAAGACGCACCAAATAATTTCACACAAGTTATTATCAAGTCAATGTTTTCATGAAGATCAGTAATACCTTTCGAACGAGAAGTAACAGAAAATACGTCCAAGCACTCTGAATTTCAAAACTAGAATGAACTGCATAACATTGAGCCTATGGGAGGTACTACTAATTTATCGTCGTTGATATGACATGCTAGCCAGTTTTTTATCGGCCTACCTGTTATATCTTCAGAAGTATCTAATGGGAATTTCAGCTAACACATCATTGACATTAAAAGCCATTTATTTAAAGATTTATGGTTATAAACAGTTATTAATTGTGGAGATTGATAAATTCAAACACAATTTATAATTTTTGGAGGTTGTAAAACTTGAACAAAGTAGGAAGTTTCTTCTGATTACATCAGTGTCGATAAAAGTTTAATCCTATAAAGTTTAAGAACTGATGGTCATTTGATTTACAACCAATTAGTTTTAAACTTAATTAAATTAGGTTATATATTTCAATCCCGGACAGTTCTAAAACGGTGTTTCTTTCGCGATTTTATTTTATTATTTTCCGAAAATACTATGGAAAATGAATGAAATAAGCCGTTCCTGAAAATTTTGGTGTAACATTTTTCAATTATTAAAGTTTTGTATCCTTATAATCTTAAAACTCATTTCAAAAAAATTATCTTAATTGACACCATTAAAATAACAAATTACAAGTATAATTGCTGCATTTACTTCAATAAAATAAGATATATTTGTAATTTTAAACAATGCGAACAACATTTTTTATATTTTTTTCTGATATTCTTTAACCGTATTTAAAAATAAATAATCATTAACTTCGTTAAGTACAACAATACAATGGTGATCAATGATTTTGATTAAAATAAAGAAATAATTGCATTCTTATTTAACAAAAACAAAAGTTTATGCATATGTATCCTTCAATTGTTTTCATTTTATTCAAAATTAATTATCAAAAGACATTTATAAAGAATGATTGCAATTGAGCATATTTTATGAAAAAAAAAAAACAATCCTGAAGTACAAATAAAAACTGAAATCTTATGTTGGCTTCTGATTTGTATTAACAATAACTGCATTCTTGCAAATAAAGCAATAACTGAATTCTTTTTCAACAAAAACCAAACCTTAAGTATTTTAATTCTGATTATATCTAAATTCTTTAAGCGACTTATATAAAGGCTTTTGAAATAACTAATTCCAAATAATAAAGCATATTTTGTTTTTCAAAATTTACACAATGCAAACAACATTGTAGTATATTTTCTCTGATATTCTTTTAATTTTATGAAAAAACAACCAATCCTAAACAAAATAAAGTGCAAAAATCCAATAGTGGTCAATAGTTTTTCATGAAAATAAAGAAGTGATTGCATTCTTGTTCAACAAAAACAAAAGTTTAAGCATAACTATCCTTCCAAAATTAACATTTTATACAAAAAATAATAAAAAGTATCTTAAAGGCTGATTGCAATTAAAATTGCATTATTTTTAAAATTAGAAGAAATATTTGCATTTTAGGCAACGCATAAAAAAATTTAGTATCTTTTCCTTTAAATTCAGCCTATTTAATGAAAAACAACCAATCCTGATGTGCAAAAAGTAATTAAATCTTATGGCAGTTTATAATGTGTATTAAAATAAAGCAATAACTGCATTGTTTTTCAGCAAAAACCAAACTTGGAGTATTTTAATTCTGATGAGATCTAAATTCTTAAAGAAGACTTATATGAAGGCTTTTAGAATAACTAATTCCAAATAAAATAGCATCATTTTTTATCAAAAGAAGAATAATTTTAGTAAATTTGAACAATGCAAACAACATTTAAGTATATTTTCTCTGATATTCTTTTAATTTTATGAAAAATCAACCAATCCTTAACAATATAAAGTACAAAAATCCAATGGTGGTCAATAGTTTCCATTAAAATGAAAAAATGATTGCATTCTTGTTCAACAAAAACAAAAATTTAAGCATATCTATCCTTCAAAAATTCACATTTTATTCAAAATAACTTATCAAAAGGCTTATTTAAAGGCTGATTGCAATTAAAGTTGCATTATTTGAAAAATGAGAAGAAATATTTGCATTTTAGGCAACACGTACAAAAATTTAGTGTCTTTTCCCTTAAATTCAGCCTATTTAATGAAAAACAACCAATCCTGATGTTCAAAAAGTACTGAAATCTTATGGCAGTTTATAATGTGTATTAAAATAAAGCAATAACTGCATTCTTTTTCAACAAAAACCAAACTTTGAGTATTTTAATTCTGATGAGATCTAAGTTCTTACATAAGACTTATATGAAGGCTTTTGAAATAACTAATTCCAAATAAAATAGCATCATTTTTTATCAAAAGAAGAATAGTTTTGGTAAATTTGAACAATGCATGCAATATTTTAGTATATTTTCTTTGATATTCTTTAAATTTTATGAAAAATTAACCAATCCTAAACAATATATAGTACAAAAATCCAATGGTGGTCAATAGTTTCCATGAAAATGAAGAAACGATTGCATTCTTGTTCAACAAAAACAAAAATTTAAGCATATCTATCCTTCAAAAAATAACATTTTATTCAAAAGAACTATAACTTATCAACAGGCATATTTAAAGGCTGATTGCAATTAAAGTTGTATTATTTGAAAAATGAGAAGAAATGTTTGCATTTTAGGCAACGCGTACACAAATTTAGTGTCTTTTCCCTTAAATTCAGCCTATTTAATGAAAAACAACCAATCCTGATGTTCAAAAAGTACTGAAATCTTATGGCAGTTTATAATAAGTATTTAAATAAAGCAATAACTGCATTCTTTTTCAACAAAAACCAAACTTTGAGTATTTTAATTCTGATGAGATCTAAGTTCTTAAAGAAGACTTATATGAAGGCTTTTAAAATAACTAATTCCAAATAAAATAGCATCATTTTTTATCAAAAGAAGAATAGTTTTGGTAAATTTGAACGATGCAAACAACATTTAAGTATATTTTCTCTGATATTCTTTTAATTTTATGAAAAATCAACCATACTTAAACAATATAAAGTACAAAAATCCAATGGTGGTCAATAGTTTCCATGAAAATGAAGAAATGATTGCATTCTTGTTCAACAAAAACAAAAGTTTAAGCATAACTATCCTTCAAAAATTAACATTTTATTCAAAATAACTTATCAGAAGGCATATTTAAAGGCTGATTGCAATTAAAGTTGCATTATTCGAAAAATGAGAAGAAATATTTGCATTTTAGGCAACACGTACACAAATTTAGTGTCTTTTCCCTTAAATTCAGCCTATTTAATGAAAAACAACCAATCCTGATGTTCAAAAAGTACTGAAATCTTATGGCAGTTTATAATGTGTATTACAATAAAGCAATAACTGCATTCTTTTTCAACAAAAACCAGACTTTGAGTATTTTAATTCTGATGAGATCTAAGTTCTCACATAAGACTTATATGAAGGCTTTTGAAATAACTAATTCCAAATAAAATAGGATAATTTTTTATCAAAAGAAGAATAGTTTTGGTAAATTTGAACAATGCAAGCAATATTTTAGTATATTTTCTCTGATATTCTTTAAATTTTATGAAAAATTAACCAATCCTAAACAATATATAGTACAAAAATCCAATGGTGGTCAATAGTTTCCATGAAAATGAAGAAATGATTGCATTCTTGTTCAACAAAAACAAAAATTTAAGCATATCTATCCTTCAAAAAATAACATTTTATTCAAAAGAACTATAACTTATCAACAGGCATATTTAAAGGCTGATTGCAATTAAAGTTGTATTATTTTTAAAATTAGAAGAAATATTTGCATTTTAGGCAACGCGTACACAAATTTAGTGTCTTTTCCCTTAAATTCAGCCTATTTAATGAAAAACAACCAATCCTGATGTTCAAAAAGTACTGAAATCTTATGGCAGTTTATAATAAGTATTTAAATAAAGCAATAACTGCATTCTTTTTCAACAAAAACCAAACTTTGAGTATTTTAATTCTGATGAGATCTAAGTTCTTAAAGAAGACTTATATGAAGGCTTTTAAAATAACTAATTCCAAATAAAATAGCATCATTTTTTATCAAAAGAAGAATAATTTTGGTAAATTTGAACGATGCAAACAACATTTAAGTATATTTTCTCTGATATTCTTTTAATTTTATGAAAAATCGACCATACTTTAACAATATAAAGTACAAAAATCCAATGGTGGTCAATAGTTTCCATGAAAATGAAGAAATGATTGCATTCTTGTTCAACAAAAACAAAAGTTTCAGCATATCTATCCTTCAAAAACTAACATTTTATTCAAAATAACTTATCAGAAGGCATATTTAAAGGCTGATTGCAATTAAAGTTGCATTATTTGAAAAATGAGAAGAAATATTTGCATTTTAGGCAACGCGTACACAAATTTAGTGTCTTTTCCCTTAAATTCAGCCTATTTAATGAAAAACAACCAATCCTGATGTTCAAAAAGTACTGAAATCTTATGGCAGTTTATAATGTGTATTACAATAAAGCAATAACTGCATTCTCTTTCAACAAAAACCAAACTTTGAGTATTTTAATTCTGATGAGATCTAAGTTCTCACATAAGACTTATATGAAGGCTTTTGAAATAACTAATTCCAAATAAAATAGCATAATTTTTTATCAAAAAAAGAATAGTTTTGATAAATTTGAACAATGCAAGCAATATTTTAGTATATTTTCTCTGATATTCTTTAAATTTTATGAAAAATCAACCAATCCTAAACAATATATAGTACAAAAATCCAATGGTGGTCAAAAGTTTCCATGAAAATGAAAAAAATGATTGCATTCTTGTTCAACAAAAACAAAAATTTAAGCATATCTATCCTTCAAAAAATAACATTTCATTCAAAATAACTTATCAACAGGCATATTTAAAGGCTGATTGCAATTAAAGTTGCATTATTTGAAAAATGAGAAGAAATATTTGCATTTAAGGCAACACGTACAAAAATTTAGTATCTTTTCCCTTAAATTCAGCCTATTTAATGAAAAACAACCAATCCTGATGTTCAAAAAGTACTGAAATCTTATGGCAGTTTATAATGTGTATTACAATAAAGCAATAACTGCATTCTCTTTCAACAAAAACCAAACTTTGAGTATTTTAATTCTGATGAGATCTAAGTTCTCACATAAGACTTATATGAAGGCTTTTGAAATAACTAATTCCAAATAAAATAGCATAATTTTTTATCAAAAGAAGAATAGTTTTGATAAATTTGAACAATGCAAGCAATATTTTAGTATATTTTCTCTGATATTCTTTAAATTTTATGAAAAATCAACCAATCCTAAACAATATATAGTACAAAAATCCAATGGTGGTCAAAAGTTTCCATGAAAATGAAAAAAATGATTGCATTCTTGTTCAACAAAAACAAAAATTTAAGCATATCTATCCTTCAAAAAATAACATTTCATTCAAAATAACTTATCAACAGGCATATTTAAAGGCTGATTGCAATTAAAGTTGCATTATTTGAAAAATGAGAAGAAATATTTGCATTTAAGGCAACACGTACAAAAATTTAGTATCTTTTCCCTTAAATTCAGCCTATTTAATGAAAAACAACCAATCCTGATGTTCAAAAAGTACTGAAATTTTATGGCAGTTTATAATAAGTATTTAAATAAAGCAATAACTGCATTCTTTTTCAACAAAAACCAAACTTTGAGTATTTTAATTCTGATGAGATCTAAATTCGTAAATAAGACTTATATAAATGCTTTTGAAATAACTAATTCCAAATAAAATGGCATCATTTTTTATCAAAAGAAGAATAATTTGGTTAATTTGAACAATGCAAACACCATTTTAGTATATTTTCTTTGATAATCTTTTAATTTTATGAAAAAAACAACCAATCCAAAACTGTTAAAAGTACAAAAATCCAATGGCAGTCAATAATTTCCATTGAAAAGGCAGAAATGATTGCATTCTTGATCCAATAAAACAAAAGTTTGACATATGTATCCTTCAAAAAATCAAATCTTATACAGAATTACTTATCAAAAGACATTTTAAAGACTATTTGCAATTGATGTTGAATCATTTCAAATATGAGATGAAATATTTGCATTAAATTGTGTAGCATTTCCATAATATTCAGTCTATTTTTTTCTGAAGAACAACCAATCCTGATGTAGAAAAAGTATTGAAATCTTTTGACAGTTTATAATTTGTATTAAAATAAAGCAATAACTGCATTCTTATTCTACAAAAACAAAATTTTTTATTTTTTTTTATTTCTGATTATCTTTTAATTCAAAGAAAACACTTATCTCGAGAACATTACAATACATAATTATAAATAAGATTACATTACTTTTTATCAAATGAAGAAATTAAAGTAATTCAAAACAATAGTTAAAACAACACTTTTAATCAAGACAAACAAAGCTCTGAGCTTCTTTAATGTTATACTATTTTTACTTTTATCATCTAGTGACATGAATTGCTAGATATAGTACATATTTTAAATGATAACATTTTATCGCTTATGAGTGGTACATAAGCATATCGTTAGTCTGCACTTATTTAATTTTTTAGCTAAAATTTAAATTAAAGAATATGAAGATATACACATGATGTGTGAAAAGTAATTCATATTTATTTTTTTTTATTTGTTATTGCAACTAAGTTTATTACAACTAAACGAATAAAGGTGTCTTCGTGGAGGTCAGTGTTTATCGAATGTAAACACTGTGGAGTTCGGTTTACATAAGAATTTTAAACATATACGTATCCGTCAGAATCGTCCATAAGATAAATCTACTGATCGATCGCTGACCGTTGTCACGGTAACTCTCACATAGCTTATTTGGCTTATCTGACGAATTATATAGGTCACCGAGCAACGACTACTCATGGATCAGTCAAACATTCACGACAAACAGTAACATCCAAGGTTGCAAGTAATGTACAACAGACCATTTTTTTACAAAAAAAATAAGTTATTATTTGTCACGGTTATTAAATTTCGACATATGAAGGGAATTTCGGTTATTTCTAAAGATTAATTGTCAAATTGTATACAACAGACCGATATGAGACAAAATAAGGAGTAAGGGTGAGAGCAAGTTAGGGAAATTGTGTCACTCCTAACTTATCATTCATGTAAAGAGAGAAAAAAGTTTCTAGTGCGGTGTTGTAGTCCACTTGTATTTTTGTTCATCTGATGATTTATGCCTATTTTAACTGATTTGTATAGGTTTTTCATATGTTGTACTTTAAAACCACTGTCCCAGGTTCGGGGGAGGAATGGGATCCTGCTAACATGTTTAACCCCACCCCATTCTGTATGTAAGTGCCTGTCCTAAGTCAAGAGCCTGTAATTCAGTGGTTGTCGTTTGTTGCTGTGTTACATATTTGATTTTCGTATACTTTTTGTACATATATAAGACCGTTAGTTTTCACGTTTGAATTGTTTTACATTGTCATTTCGGGGTCTTGTATAGCGTACTACGCGGTATCGGTTTTGCTCATTGTCGAAAGCCGTACGGTGACCTATAGTTGTTAATTACTGTTTCATTTTGGTCTGCAGTGGAGAGTTGTCTCATTAATAATCATACCACATCTTCTTTTTTTATTTACGAAAAGTGTTTTTATGAATATAAGTGTGATAATTGACCACGCTATGATATTGATATGTAAATGTATACTGAAGTATTGGTTTCAGAAATGATAAAAGTTTAACATTAACTATAATATAATGTTTTCGTAAATTAAACTTCAAGGATTAACCTTTAGTTTTCATAAGATTTACTATGTGTGCTTAATCAAATCAATGGACAAAGGCGTCTTTTTAAACAATTCTTAGAATGATTCTGATATAAAGGAGTAAATGCTTACCTTTCATGAAAATTTCTCCACAATGGTATTATAATTCAATCACAAGAAAAACACTTATCCGACGATCAACTAACCTTTAACAGAAGCGTTCTGTTAACTGCACATGCGCATACATAATTTGAATGTCAACAGCAACCTTTACCTACATTCATTATAACCTTAACTTTTGGATTTTATCTTAACCTTTTAATAAAACCATCACCTTAACCTTAAATTTTAACCTTTAAACTTGAACAAGACTCGCTATCTGTATGCATTCACAAATTGTGTCATTAACAAATCCTGAAGTACAAAATACTTACCTTTAACCGCCAAGGAAACTGGTCATATTCTCCTTGAAAATATGTGAATGTTACTTCTTCACCTTCGCTGATTGTTCTTGTAGCAAAGAAACAAAGATGGGGAAGACCACCGACAATTATTCTCTTAACAATAGAGTTACTATCATTCTCGTCATCGTTTACGAGCCTTCCCAAGGATTTGTCGTCATTAGATGCATCGATCCTAGATGGAAAGAACAACTTACTGTTAAACTTTAGCTTACTGATACGAAGGTATCAAATTATTTAAGGTAAGGATTCTAGTGAATGGTAAAAGCTATAGGATTTAAGGTTATGGTCTAATGATAAGGTTAAAGATTAATGTTACAAGTAACTGGAAAGGTTAAAGATTAAGGTTAAAATTAACTGTTAAGGTTACAGATTAAGGTTAGAAGTAAATGTGAGGGTTAACGTCAATAGTAAATGTTAAGATTATAGGTAAAAGTTCAGTTTGAAGTTTGCTGTAAGTTAAAGGTAAACAAAAAAGTTATTGATCAGTGATAATTAACAGTCGGTGAAAGGTTTGAGGTCATTTTCGATATATTAATATACATCAATGTAGGAATCAGGCCAGAACTGGTTTTATTTCTGGTATCCTTGATTTTGATAAATGATGAGTTATAAATCAACTTAAAGAAATATATCTAAATAGCGTGATATTAATATAAAAGATCTGGAGCAATATATTTTTTTCTATTTTACTAAAAAGGATCATTTATAAAGTCGACTCTATACGGAAAAAGAAATTGTGTGATAGAAAGGGGCAGATAATTGCAATTGAAATATCGAAGATTTTTGCAATTGCATGATTACCAAAATTCAAAAAAATGAATAATCAGAAAAAAAAACAACGTATTGAATTCCTTAAGGTGGTATGGGAGTCTAAAATGAAAGGATAAAATTCGCTCACTTTGCCAAAACCTATTGTATATTAATATCTGTTCCAAACTATACTAAAAACGATAGGTCACCGTGCAATTTATCAAGCTACAGGTTGTGGCACATTGTGTATGGCGTATACGGGTAATAACATCAGTATGCAATTAGAAGCTACACTACTTGATAGAATTGTTAAATAAAACACAAAAAGATAGCATCAAGACAATGATTTGAGAATATCAAAAGAAGGGATAAAGTCACCGTACGTTTTTTTTCGGCTAAAATACGAAATAGGAAAATTCCATGTAGATTCCTTCAGAAAAGTGCACTTTTTCCAGAGTTACCTTCCATTCAAATGGCATTTGTTAAACCAAAATTAATCTACACTTGCGAAAGTGTTAATACTTATAATCATTATCTTAAAAACGGTTTTTTTTTCAAATAACAGTTCACATTTAGTTATCTGCATTTTTGCATCAAATTTTGTTAACTTAATTAATAGAAACTAGACATTAGGTTCACTGATTTTTTACAATCCAAGATGGCGAAATACGCCCATACCACCCGTATGTCATTTACGTGTTTTAACCGCTACTATATGGTTTTGAAGTCGACAAGAAAAAAAAACATTTTTCATCTAGCATAAAAAGTTTTAAACTTACCAACATTTTCTTGAATTCCAAATAAACTCGAATGCGTACTCGTTGAAGCCTGGATCAACTGTTGTTAAATTTCCGCGATATTCGAACATAAACTCGCCTTTTTCAAACTGTTTTGTCGTAAACACACCTCTTCCTTTTATAAAGTTAAACGACAAATATAAACATCAAACAGCTCAAAACATTTTAAACTACATAACGATGATTGATTGATTAAGTAAAATATAATATTAATAAATATGTTGTTAGTAAACTATATTTTATTCGAAAAAGAAACCATTTTAGAAAATATTTTCATCACAAATACTTAAATACTAATACTAGTGAACATGTATAATTTGAAATTTATTGTTTTCAAAATTTTTAACAAAGTATGAAGAAAAAAATATTCACCGCATGTTTATGAATTTAATGCATATTAAAATAAAAAAATAACCTTTTTTTAAAGACCAAATTGAGAAAACAAAACTTGAAATACAATGCATGCTTGTAAAAGGTACCGCAAATGAAGATAGATTGAAGATACAAAAATCATTCGTAAGTAAACTTTTCTAAAACACCTATCCAGGTATTACAATGAAACAACATATTAACACACTGAAAAAACAAAACAGTTTACGCATAAGTTCTAAATAAACAGAATAACTAGTATTTACCTTTTATGTCGTCAATCTTTCTTACCAAAAACCCTTCTCGATCTGATTTACTATTTATGTAATCTTCAATTTTTAATATTCTTCTATTTGATCTTCGCAAATCTACAAATTTCAGAATTATTCCATTAATGCACTCATTCAAGTTGTATAAATAAGACATTTTAGATAGTCGTCACGGTGCTTGGACTCTTAACATATATTATTATATTATTACGCCTGTTATTTAAGTTTGATACATTCATTGCCAAGGTGTATACATCGTGTACATAATACTTGTATCTTAATTTCAAAAATTGACACTCCGAGTTTCACATTTCTGATAAAAGAAGGACGAAAGATACCAAAGGGTATCAACTGAAAACAAACTGACAACGCCATGCCTAAACTAAATAGACGAATACACAAAAAAATAGTACAGAATTTAGCGTTGATAAGCGTTGTACAGAATTCTTTAAAATAATGATAACTACATTCAATTCGGGTAATGTAGAACACCCACAGAGACCAGACAATCTATCTATGCTCAAGCAAAAAGTCGGCTAATTCGGAGTTAGTTAAATAATAATATCTTTCGTTGGCACAGAGAACTTGCCCTATTTATCCGGAATGTCGACTGAAAAGTGTTTAAAACAAAACATTTTCATACAAAATTTGGTCTCAATTTGTGAATAAAAATACCAAATGCCTGCGTCTACTAATTTGATATCCATTAGTAAGACATACGAATGTTACTTACCTGGTTTAACTAATTTATAATCCATAACACAAAATATATAGAAGTGTTCTTTCTACTAATAACTTCCTATAATTCGACAGTTTGCACACGCACCCTTACCAGGTGTACATGCGCAAAGATGAAATTTTGATTTCAAGCTTAATCTTGTCTTAAACTTAACTGTAACCATAATGTTTACCTTTGACCTTATTCACAACCCTAACCCTTTACCGTACAAAAATTGTCCTTCAATCAACCTTAAAATTAAACTACTATGATATACCCTAAAATTGACATTAACCTTAACCTTTTCCTTACCTTTAACCTTAACCTTAACCTAAACATAAACTTTCACTTTCTCTAACCTTGAATTAACATTAATAGATATAAGAAGATGTGGTATGTGGTTAACATTAAGGCTACCTCAACTATGAACATTAAGGTTAAAACATACCTTCACTTTAACCTTTACCTTAAGCTTAACATTACCATTATTGTTAACCTAAACCTTAACTCTTTTTTATCTTCAATTAACCTTAAAAAAGAGAGACGAACGATATCAGAGGGACAGCCAAACTAATAGATCGAAATTGAATTGAAAACGATATGGCAAAATAAGAAAAACGCCAACAGACCAATAATAGTTCACATAAGGGTACTTCCACCTTTAATCTGAATTTATAACTATTAATGAATCCTCAATAAATCATGAGGTTAAAACATACCTTAACCTTTACTTAAACAATAAACTTAACTGAAACTTTGACATTTTGTAACCTTCAATTCACTTAAAGGCTTCCTCAATCTTAAAACTCAATTTCAATCGTTAATCTAAATTTTCAACTACCAATCATCCTTCAGCGGGGTTCGGACAAACCTTCAATTTAACCTTAAACTAAATTTTAACTTCAACTATAATCTTAACTTTTACATTAACCTTAACCTTAACCTACACCTTAACCTTATCTATCATTTAATTAACCTCAAGGCTACCGCAACCTTTCATCTGAATTTTCAACTACCAATTAACCATCTATGAACATTAAGGTTAAAAATCACCTTCAATCTTATCTTAACCTTAACCAGAACTTAATTTTTTAACCTTGAATTTACCTGTACCTTAAATATGAATTGTCAACAAACCAACTAACCATCAATCAACGTTAAGGTTAAACAATAACTTAATATCTTAACCTGAACAGTAACCTTATCTTAAAATTACCCCTTGCAAATGAAATTCCAAAGGCCATGACTAGTATTCAAAGGCTTCCCAAAGTACTTGACCAGTGATAAGCCAGAAAAAAACGATAAACCAACTTCAATAGCCAGAAAATCACCCTATGGCAAATTACCCAAAAGAGTTTGATATTCTGTGAGCATCACGCAGGGATGCCAAAAATGTATGCTATTGCTTATTATAAAGCTAAGGTACCCGGTTACCTTCCTATATCCATTATTTGGACGATCGTAAGGCAAAACACTATTTTTTCGACTGCTACCCTTATATCTAGGTGCAAAACGCTAGTATTTCACATATTGACCCAGGACCTTTTAACCCTATAGACTAAGTTTATTTTGTTATAGGTTCAAACAAGGTGTAAATATCATGGCAAAGGTCGTTCTAGCTAGTAAAATCAGTTTCAGAAGTTCTTCGTCTCGTGTTAAGACAGAAAATTACGATGAAACAATACCAAAGCCAAGAAAATTATTATATAAGCAACAACCAATAAGGGTTTATATCATTCCTCGAGCACCCCGCGGACATGGCTTATCAGTATATTAAATATCTTTACAACGCCAACGGTCCAAATTGCCTGCCTGAATCCTAGTAACCATAAGTTTTACAATCGTAAAGCAAGACATCATTTCATTTCTACACCAAGAACTAAATCGAGTACCCAGCCGCAAACAATGACAATACCGACCCCGAATCTTTTCACTATATATACCACGTCGGCCATTTTATATGGGTATATAATAGCTCATACGAACGCTGATAAGGTTCATGTTGCCTACATACTTCCTTAGTTGTCAATACTTGTACGAGCATAAGACAATAAAGCTATTAATTCGACCCATGTTTGGATGTCTGCTATCCAACCGCAAATATTGTCATAACCGATGCCGGATCTATACCATACAGATCAAGCCGAGCCTATTTTGAATAAAACAAGGTGCAAATACAGTCCCTCAGACCTTGGCTAACTATATAAAGTTTTTTTTACAAAAGATTCAACTACCATCACAAGGCAGGAAAACACGATGAAGTA